CGACGCAACCATCACTTCGTCAGGCGCGTCCGTTGGCAGCACCATCTTAGGGCGTTTGGCGGCCCTTGTTGTAGCTTCTTTGGAAACCTCTGAATCGGAGGAGTCCGACGAGGATGAACTGTCTGAGCTCTCTGACATAGATGGTTCATCTTGGTCAGCTGGTGGTTGAGGAGAATCGGGCACCTCAACTGGTTTGTTGAAATCAAAGCATTGCCATTGCCTCTTCTCCATTGAAGTTTTTCTAAAGAATTCGATTTGGACTGCTGGTTCAACAACCGGTAGCTGACCACCTCTGTGCTGTGGTGTGACAAAGCGTTTTCCACGTCTGACACTTTCAATCAGTTTTTTGTGGAACGCCAGCTGGCCGTGGACGTCATCACGGCTATACAGCCTCAAGCTTCGTCAGGCACTTTGACGATGGTGTCCTTGAAGGAGCCTCTCTTCTGAAGAAACCTGGCCATCAGCCATGAGCTGAGACCCCCATGATAGGAGCGTTGACTTCATCGAATGGACCGATAAATGGTCTGAAGTTTGTGGGGTCCTCTTCCAAGGAAGCCGTGCCAAATGGCGAATCCATTTCAAAGCCTCATGGCAGCTCAATGCCATCATGACGCATGACCGGAAATAAAAAGTCCGGGACTTGCATATCCAAATCAGTTGTTTTTGCATGATGCCACAACTCATCCAGGGTCGACAGCCATTTTTCAGTCCATGAATATGTACCCACAAAAGGCCATGCGCCACAAAGCCCCAAGGTTGTCCCCTGGACGATGTCTTGGTTCTCCAACAGGTTGCTCTGAACGACGCCCCATCAAAACAAAAACTTTTGAAATTGCACCTTTGTGCATCAGCAAAGCGGAGTCCACCCCACACGCATGCCAAAATGGACCCCAGCATGACAATTTCAGCTGTGGTACAGGTAGCCATAAGGATTCTCCGCTCGAATTGCACAATTGTATACAGAGAAATAGGAATGGACTCCTTGAGCTCTTTGGGGATTCTGCTTTTTAAGAAACTCTCAATCAAGGGGCGCCACGCAATTTTGAGCTGCTCCACACCAGCATGTGTGGACATCCAACGGATGGCCTTAATCGTCAACTGGCATCCAGGTGAGCAATCTGAACTCTTGGCCAGTGATGTAGTAACCAGTGCATCTGCCAACTGTGCTTCTGTCAGGGTACCCAATGATAAATCCAATGATTTGAGTGTCTTGGCAAAACTGGTCCAAGCCTGAAAATACCGCAGCAGCGTTGAAGGTGCAAACTGGTCCAATAAGCGAGCAGCATGTTGCGGGGCATGACTGGAGTCTTGCAAAGCCGTTGCAACTGTGGAAAATTTACCCAGGTCTTTCAGTATGCTAGACCATTGCTGAACCAACCAATCCGATTGAGATGGATGTTGCAACCTCAATAATTGACCTGACGTCTTGGCCGGTTGTCGTTTTGATGTCCCAGCTGGCAAGAGGGGCAAACTGAGTCCAGTACTGTTCGATTGCAATGAACTTGAAGACAAAATATCCGCAGTCCCTGAAACCATTGTATCCCCTGAAGGCGGAACCCTGACATGTAAAGGAACTGTTGCTGATTTGGCACGAACTTTTGGAACAGGAATGGGTAAACCACCAAGTGTCAACTCTGGGCCAGGATACTGTCGCTGCACATGCCTACTCTGGGGAACTGGCAAGGGTTGGCAAGCTGAACTCTTGGGCGCAGCTGGAACTACATCTGAAATCAAGGTCCACCCATCAAACACTGTCTGATGACTCATCTGAGGATCCATCTGAGGCTTCAACTGCTGTCTGTGGCAACGGAACTCTTGCAGTTCGTGGGGTCCCCACTGCCGATGACGACGAAAACGCTAGAAAAAGAAACAGTCTGGCGTTGGTCCGTTGCAAGCAAATCCAATCTGGTGAGTCAAGAAATCTGTAAGTGCAGGTTCTGGGAGCCCTTGCAGCACCAACTGAGATGAAAACAGCCCGGAATGCCGGGGAGCCAACTCGTCTGGGTCCTCCGTGAGGATGAGCTAGCCCAATGGAGGAGCCATCAGGGCATCGCCCCAGGTGAAGTGAGATCATATGCTGAAACAAAATGTTGTCTGTCAAATGAAAAACGCTCAAAACATGTTAACCGTGACAGTTCAGAACAGCTGGGAAACAAAACCCGCGGGGAAAGTGGTCAGGGCACCCAGAAAATCAAAGCGTGAAATGTTGTTGCCTGCACAGGACGAAATGAAAAGGTGAACCATCGACTAAAGATGCTGTTAAACGCAAAAACCCTCACAGGTTCCTTTGTTTTTTTTGAAAATAAGCTGAATGCTTACTTGAGCCAAAATGTAATGAAGCATTACATTGATTAAAACACAAACGAAACAAGTACGTTAAGAAAGGTCAGCCCATGTCCATCGAACAGCAAATAGGTGTCCTGCGGATCGCTCTTTCCAAGGAAAATCATACGCCTCCATTTGGCTGTGCCCTTTCCAACCACATTTGCAAATCCAAAAACAGGCTCACCAAAGTTGCAGATTGTGCCACCGTAAGCCTTGTTGTACAACAACTCGTAGGCAGTAGCACCACGTGTAGGGCTAAATCTGTTGAGCAAGAAGCATGAATGCCTGAATGCCCACGACCACCATGGAGAATTTGTTGAAAACTCAATCCCAACCTGCTCACTGAGAAAGTGCATCAGTGTACCTGCCAAAGGTCGAATGCGTCCAACTGCATTTTCAACAAGAGAATTTCCATGGCTGTATGGCGCTGGATTGTTTTTCCTCGTAGGCAAACCCATGCTGAGTCTTGCATTTAATTGCAGTAAACTCGGTTCGTTGTCACACATGAAAACCATTTCAGCATGGCCTAGGATCCCAGCGAAGCCAAGTAATTCTCTGACCATCAAACTCCACTGATTCTTGCTCCTCAATGGAACTGCATGCAAGTAACCTGTCACGCTATCAACCATCACAAGACACACCATTGTATCAATGTTCTTCTCATCCATTGACTCAGGTACTGATTTGGTGTAACAAAAGTCGAATGAAACAGTTGCTGTACCAGCACGCCTTGCACCATCTGACCTCTGTTGTTTGTCTGCACGAGCTCTGAAGCAAACACAGCTCGGGCACCAAGGAGCATATGGCAGATGGGACAAGTTGTGCAACTGCTGTTCCTCCTCAGATGGAGGCACCTTCAAGTCCACCGCTTTTGGAACTCTTGCCAAGTCAGAATGATACTGCTCTGTAGCTGCATGGATGATCTCAAGTTCCTGCTGCTTCTGATGATTCAACAAACGTGTAAAGCACTTGGATTTCGATCCTGAAGTACTGAGTCCATGAAAAGTGAGTGCAGTGCGCAAAGATTGTAAAGAGCTCTCTGGAGTTAATTCAACACCATTCACCAAAACCATGTCTGTTGGAGAAGGAGTGAAAACCAGTCTGCCTTCCAAAGGCACTTCAGCTCCTCCTGCCACCTGCATCTCACCCTCAATGTCACGTCCAACAACAGCATCTTCTGGCGCGAGTTGAACCTCATCATCAGGCAACCTTTCAGGATCAGGAAACAAAGCTGGTTCATCACCAAGCAGTGAAAATCCCATCAATGCAGGGTCCTTCTCGGAGTCTGTGATCACCGTAATGATGTCGCTCGGTCCATCATATCCATAGATCTCTGCATTCAAATCCACAAGGGTCTCAAGCAACTCACAAAAGCTCAAGCACATACCACTCGCCTTTGTCTCTGATCAATGTTGTACGATACATCTTTCCAGACATGTCAGGACGAACAAGCGTGGGATCTTGAAAATGGTCTGAATGGTGACGACCAATGCCACAATTTGTTGAATCCAGATTCCAACCCATAGGGCCCATGCGCATCAATGGAGTCACATAATAATGAAGTTGTCACAGCTGCCGCCCTTGGTACGCGAGCAGCTGGAAAAGTGACCTCAGAGTCCTTAGAATCCCCGCTCGAACTGCACGTACCAATGCCTGAGGTGAATGGGCAGGTTCAACATCATCTGAACTGATCACACGAATCCAACCTTTGACTGTCAAACTCATGTTTTGCAAATCTATTGGAACCTTCACACCAGCTTCGTGCACCAATGCCTGTTCCCTGGAGTCCATTCCCCAACCTGCTTATAGGAGTCGCCCATAGCACAAAATAGGCTGGCTGACATGCGGAGACACTGCAACACGCTCTCTCAAAAGAACAAGCTTACCAGTTTCATCCATCAATGTAATTTCAACATCACGCATCGACTGAACTGGGATCACCTGACCTTGTGCATCATGTAGCTTGGCTGAGGTCTCACACGCATCTTTCCCACAAGCTGCAAATTGCATTGGGAAAACCGCTGCATCCGCTCCAGAGTCTAACAAGATGTTTTTTTCCGTCCAACGCCTTATGGCTTCCGCCAGGTCGTTCAACATGTTTCCAAGCATGTTGCAAATGAGATTCCAGAGTCTAACAAGATGTTACACATTTCACCAGCATCTGAAGGTACTGTAGAGGCCGTCTGTAACGCAACCAAAAACTGGACGATTTCATGACCCCAAAATGGCACCCTGACCAAGCGTCAAAAATACACACTGAACCTGCCTGGGCCTTGCCTTTAGCCTTCGGCTTCGCGGCAGCCTTTGCTGTAGCTTTTGCCTCTGCTGCCATGGCGTCAGCCAAACGTTCAAACCTAGAAACCACCGCTAAGAGCCCGTGTCCACAGAAATTCAGGCAACAATACTGCAGAGCGAAGACAGGCAACTGACACAACATGTGTTGAAGGAAAGAGTCCTACTCAGATGGCAATTCTCCAAACCCTTGAAACAGAACGGAGGGCTTGTCGCAAGCCATTCCACTTCACATGTGTAGCAAATTTAAAAGACTAAGCAACAGGCAACAACTGTCGACGCTGAGCTGCAACCTTTGCTCACCTGCCTCAACCTCGAATCTGGGCGCTAGCAAAATCTTTTCCAATCACTGATAGCATGGCTCTTTCCTCTTGGACAGTAAATCACAAATAGCATGGGCCATCGAGAAACAGCTCAAACATGTTGTCCGCAAGCCACGGCTCTGATCCCTCCCAGACAGCGGACAAATCCACAGTGACTACCAAAGGGCAACGAAAGAGCCACACCGAATATGAATAAATACCTGTCCGCGATGCTCCCAGGGTGTGCAGATCATTGTTGGCTTGAAAAAGAGCGCGCTCATTGAGAATAAAATCCATGTGGTTCACGTTGTCAAATAGGATATAGCCATGCTCTTCTGGACTATAAGCTTTCAAATCTGGAGCTTCCGCGCTTTGCACCGTCTGAACAAATGGCCGGCGCCACCCAAACAAGTGACCCAAGCTTTTTGCCAACGTTGACTTCCCGGTCTGAGAGCCTCCACGGAGAACCAAGAACTTGTATCTCAACTGCACAGATTGGTATTGGCTCACCCAAGGCTGCAGCCTGCTAAGCACCTCTGGCCGGAAGGGGCGCATCAGCAGCGCCAATGCGTCCGCAACTTGTCTCTGCTGCGCCTGAAATGCCAGCTTGCGCTCATGTTCTCGCACACAATCTATTTGGCGCTGCCTCCCCATGAAACCAATACGGACTCTGTACCTCAGCGGGGAAACACTGCAACGTTACATTGGTCGACTGTGCGGTTCATGTGATAAGATCAATGAAGGGTGCAATGCCAGTATATGCACTCTGTACAAGTCACAACAACACGACACAAAAAAAGATAGACTACAAATGCAAATGTGTGACACAAAGTTCCAAAGCAGTTTGGATTGACCAGGGTTGGACTTACCATGGCCGGGTCCTTCTCGGGTCCTTTCGGGTCCTAATGTACAATGGTCGGGCCCTTCTCGGGCCCCTTCGGGTCCTCATTTACAGTGGTCGGGTCCCTTCGGGTCCTCCTCGGGTCCCTTCGGGTCCTCATTTACAGTGGTCGGGTCCCTTCGGGTCCTCCTCGGGTCCCTTCGGGTCCTCATTTAGACTGGTCGGGTCCTACACCCCGTTTGGGCTTTACAAAGATACTACAATGGGGGCGGGGTGTGGGAGGTACCTTATAGAGACTCTAGCAGGTGGAGCGGGTCTAACATTGTAGTCCAGACTCTTCTTCAAACGGGGTGTTTGCCTGAGCAACCAAGGCACGAATATTCCAAATAGACATCATGCGAAAGCTTGTGCTCCGTCCAGAGGTTGTCCAACCACCAACCCTTGACAGGATAATCCTCCCAGGGAATGTAACCAGAAGTCTCCACTCTCAGCGTGCCAACCTTGTTGGCATAGACATAAAAGTGGCCGTGGTCCAAAGCTTGGCGAAGACGAGGGCCACGGGCAGTACAAGGAGCCGCGTCCGGCCTCACACCCACAAAGACGACACACCGCAAAGATGTCCAATCTACCGCCTGCCCAAATTCCATGAAAACATGCAAATGGACCCTGCCAGGCTCTTCAGACTTGAGAGACTGCTCCATTGTCGCACTCCAGCGCCTCAGAAACTCCAATGTTCCAATCCAAGCTAGGAAGTCTGCCCACATGTGCTCCCCAAAGTGGCTTGAATTGTAAGTGAACAAACAGCCTTGGGACCGCAGCCGGAACTGCCGTCCAGCCGCTGCCGCTTCTCTGTCTTCTGGTTCGCGTGGAGCAGTCGCCGGTGCTGAGCCAGGTAAGGGGGGCACTTGCAGGGCGATTGTGAAAGTGAGCCACAACTTGCCGCAACTTCCCATGCTGCTGTGGTGTGGTGCAGCGCATTTCCAAATCATTTGCCAAGGAATCAAACTGCTGAATTGTCATGTCAAGATGAGCATTGCCTTCTTCAACGCCCAACTCCAGGGCCAAAGTTCTCAATTGCCCGCAGGCAGACCGTTTCCTTTGCGTTGTCAAACGTTTCTGCTCCATGGCTCCACAGGAAAAGCTACAAAGATGCACCTGCTGAATGGAGTTGAGAGGGTGTCCAAACTTCTATTTCCAGGAAGTTAGGTCACAAATGCTCCTGATCCGTTACACGCCTACATGTGAACAAGTGCTTCTCAGCAACAATACTGTCAGGACTGGTTAGACCATTGCCAAATTTGCTAGAGCCAGCATGTACACAACTTTGCCGTGTCTGTCAAGGTAAATCTGCATCCAAAACTTCGCACGCAAAAACGCCAAAACTCTCCATCAAAACACTGGGCAAAACTTGGCAGCTGGTCCCACAAAAGTTTGGTTACACCTACACAACCAAAGCGTTTCCAAAAATGATGAAACCAATTCCAACCACGCACTGAAAGGAAAACTCCCCTGTTCGCTCAGACACATGAAAAATCAACACTCGGAAAACATCTCACGCAGTCAGTGCTTGTCAGTGGATATCGAGTAGGCGGAAGGCCGATGAAAAAAGACGAGAAGGAAGAATTCTTGTGAAAAGCCAAGACATGCACGCTTCCCCTATACTCTAAAATGTAATAAATAGACAACAGTTCCGTTGTTGCAGTCAGACTCGCCGCAGGCGTTCCCCAACTAACTTTTTCCTGTCTGTCAGACTGTATTGACAACGCTAGTCTTGTTGCCGCCATCACCCTGTAAATGGCTTGGCTTTAGCTGCTCTCTGCCACAACCCTGACGCCAAGCCAATGCAATGGCGCATACGATTCCCTAGCTCACTGCTGCCTTTTCGACGGTGGGCGTCATCATCCTGTCACAAGCAAGTGACATAGGACTATGTGTGCTTGCGTAAGAAAGAGGAGGGAACGATGATGATGTTGCACTGCGGAGGAAATGAAAGTGAGCAACTCCAACAAACGTCTAAAGCAGCTTTTGATTGTCGACGCAAGAGTCCTAGAATCCTAGAACAGCCACAGCTGGCGCCTGTGGGCTGCGCCTCTCCTGCCTCAGCTGCTTCCTTCTCTTTGGCCGTGATGAGCAGCTGAAGATCAGCACGAGATAGCTTCTTTGCCGCCTGCGAAGAGTGATGGAACTGCCACCAAAAAAAGACAACTGCAAAAGACAATGTCTGCCTTGAGCAAATTCTTCCTGCGCTTCTGCGCCAACCTGTTCTGCTTGCGGTTCTCCTTGATAGCCTGCAACTCACCACCACTTAAACAAAACAGGCCCACGGCCCCTAAAACCAGCATCCCCCCACCTTGCGGAGAGAAGACCGCTGCGTCTCCAAGGCTTCTAGCTTTTCTTGCAGCAGCGCCTGCATAGGCACAGACAGACAGAGAGAGAGAGAGAGAGAAAGAGAGAAGGACAGAGAAGGACAGAGAAGGACAGAGAAGGGCAGAGAAGGGGAGAGAGAGAGAGAGAGAGACCGAAAGAGAGAGACAGAGAGAGAGAGAGAGAAAGACAGAGAAAGACAGAGAAAGATAGAGAAAGACAGAGAAAGACAGAGAAAGACGAGACAGCAAACGGACATTACAAGTGAAACAACATCCCACCAATAGAATAATACTAAAATACATTTGGTTTGCAAAATCAAAACATCTCAGCCCACGTCCGAACATTGAAAGCTGAAAAAAGCACGGAGGAGAAAGGGAGACAGCGCATGCTAGGAAGTGTAGAAGGCGACGGGCGCAGAAAGAACGAGCCAAACAGGAACCTTGTTGTATAAGGCACCCCAACACAAAACACCCTTTCACCACCTTCTCGGACCCAACACGCTGCTGGGACAAGGGGCCGGCTGACCTCCGGGTGACCTCTAGGTCTAGGTGAGCTCCAGCTCACCCAAACATAAACCCAAGCTGACTTCTGAGCAAACCTGAACGCAACCTCGGAATAACTTCAAAGGGGGCACCGGTGTCTAAGGTGTACTACACCCCTGGTGTTTAAGGTGAACCACACCGGTGTTTAAGATATACCACACCCCGGTGTTTAAGGTGAACCACACCGGTGTTTAAGGTGTACCACACCCTGGTGTTTAAGGTGAACCACACCGGTGTTTAAGGTGTACCACACCCCGGTGTTTAAGGTGAACCACGGGATTTCAGGGTCGTATAGGTGTGACTGGAAGGGTCGTAGGTGGAGGTTTGCGGGGCGTAGGCACATTCCCTACAAGGGGATTTGAGGGCCGTAGGTGTGACCTGGAAGAGTCGTAGGTGGAGGTTTGAGGGTCGTAGGCGCGCTCCCTACAAGGGGATATGCAGGTGGTACTTAGGTGTGACATGGAATTGTCATAGGTGGAAGTTTGTGGGTCGTAGGTGCGCTCCCTATACAAGGAGATTTGCAGGTCGCAGGTGTGACCTGGAAGGGTCGTAGGTGGAGGTTTGAGGGTCGTAGGCGGGCTTGCAGGGTTGCAGGTGGGGTGTACCTTACACACCGTGGTGGTGGTACACCTTAAACACTGGTGTGGTTCACCTTAAACACCGTGGTGGTGGTACACCTTAAACACTGGTGCACATGGAGGGAAGAGAAGAGGGAGTCGCCTCGCGTGGACAAAGCGCGCAAAGGTGGAAGGACGAAAAAACACAAACGCGGGTCAATAGGGTTTTTCGGCTTACAATGCACTCTGCCTGTAAAACAAAGACCGAGAAAGACAGAGAAAGACAGAGAAAGACAGAAAGCAACACACACACACACTGAAACCGAGACACGCAAGTCCCAATTTTTGAGCTCTGCAACAGGACCCGGTTTTGGGCCCAAAATCTGACACCAAGTCTGGTCTTGCAGCGAAGGGCCTCTAGAGTAATTCACTAATGATTGTTCGGATCTCTCCCTCTTGCAAATGATCTTCTGTGTCATCTCCAATGTAGAACTGCATGGCTCTCACAGAACCTGAAAAAGAGAATGGACTGTCACGTAGATCACACACAAATGAATTCTTCTCCATTGCTTCGGAGATTCGTGAAACTCGAAACTGAGCTGCCTGCTGCACTGATTGCTGCTGTTGACCTTGTTGAGGACTATGCTGAACTGATTGATTGCCAGCTCCCTGCTGGGATACACTTGTGAGATTTGTCCATCCAGACTGACTCGAATCCCCGACTGATGAAGCCGCTTGTACATTCCTCACATTGTTCCAGCAGTCTTTGGCCATGTGGCCAGGCTTGTTGCAGACACAGCAAACTCGTTCACCTTTTCCTTTGCCTTTCCCTGGATTTTGGACTGACTTTCCCTTTCCAGATTGACCGCCTTTGTCATTGTTGTTCTTGGTCTTGCCTTTGTCTTTACCTTTCTGCTTTGACTTTCCTTCTGATTTCCTTTGTCATTCTTACCTTTGCCTTTGTCATGGCCTTTTCCTTTCCTTGGATTTCTGTCGACTTCCCTGGGTTTCACATCTGAAGACTCATCTGTTGTTGAAACCAAATTGGACCATTTCTGATGAGCACGGTCCCATCTCAAGATCTCCTCTCTGAGCTCAAGGTATGTTGAGGTTTCACTCAAACTCAAATGGGTTTTCAAAGCTCCCGACAAATAACGTAGCAAAATGGCACATTTCAGCTCGTCTGCCAGCGTAGTGCCAGCTCTTCTAGTATCCTCGTATGCATCCTCCAGCTTCAAAAGCTGAGCTTGTAAGGGCTTGCTCATCTAGAATGACGGCCACGGCAGTCACACTGGCCAGCAAAGATAGGCCACGGGCCTGGGTGTTAGACCTCATAGAAAGCACCAGTTGTCGCATTTTTTTCTGGTCGGCGCCCGTTGCCTTTCGGCGGGTCGCACTTGAAACTCCCGAGTGGACCAGCAGGGATTCGAACCACCAGCGGCAGTCTGTCAGCGCTGGCAAGACCAACGCCATACCAACTGAGCCATCGGGTCGCCCAGAAAGCATCTGTTGTCGCAAGACTTCATAGCCATTCCCAGGAGGTGCAGCCCGCACTTTTGAAAGTGCTCGATTCTTCACCAAGCCAGCAAGCAAACCGTACAATTTCGCTGAACGCTGTCTGACATCAATGGAAGCTGAATCAACATCCAACATCTTCGAAGGATCATCTGTAATCTGAGTCAACTCTTTACTGAAACCTTCATCAACACAAATCAAGTACTGTGAAAGTTGCCAGTGTTGTTGGTCCTGCTAAAGTCAAACACTGCAGGTTTGTTCACTAATTTCGACCAATCCACCTGAGCTTGTGGTCTATTGCTGCTGCTCCCAGAAGATCCACCTGCAGTCGAGGTGGCTGCAACAGCCGCTGAACTGGCTGTAGCAGCCGCACTAGCTGCTTGAGCAGCATCAGCTGCCCTCTGTGTCGCCTCTGCAACCTGCAGGAGCGCAGCCTGGGTCATATTTTGGTTCCTGTTTCGGGTTCCATTTTTAGGCACCGGTTTGGGCCCCTACAATCGCAAACAAAATCTAGGCATGGTTCAAAATAAAGTGCTAGACCGTTGGCGTTTTCTTTGCATGGTAGCGGAGCTTCGCTCTGACTCCAGCGCTACTAATCTTAGATCTATTTGCATTTCTGGTATACACAGGTTTCTGAAGTGCAAGCGATTCCGGTTTTCATTGCGTGGCTTTGCAACAGTGGATTTACGTGGTGATTCACTTTTCCAGTGATTGTTGACTGCTCCTTTGCGAGACTTAATTAATCAATTAATTCCAACTGCAATGTTGAACGACCTGGCGGAAGCCATGAAGGCGTCGGACGGAAAAAAATCCAGTCATTGTTGACTGCTTGAGCGTGATACAACTTTTCTGGCTTGTTACATTCCAATACAGAGATTTTCAGTGATCTGACTGTGCAGTGGCAGCTGGATTGTTGGTGGTCTCGAGATGTCCCAGCAAGTGGATGCTGGCATATTTCAAATCAAGAACCCTAAAATGCAATCCGGGGCCCCAAATTTGTACGGAGATGCAAACAAGGTCCATGATCTTCATTCAGCGGTCTGCTGGACGATCGGATTCAATTCAACAAACCAACAGTTTAACCAAAGAAGGAAGGGAAAACTTGGGCGGGCAAATTGCTCAAACAGAGAGCATGAATACATTC